AGAATGAAGTAGACCCTTTCCTTACACTAAATACAAAATTAACTCAAACTCAGTCAACTTAAATATAGGAGCTAAAACCATGAAATTCTTAGAAGAAATACAGGAGTAAATCTTCATGACCTTGCATTTGGCAGTGGATTCTTAGATGACATCAAAAGGAGAATAACAACAAAAAACAGATAAATTGGACTTCATCAAAATTAAAAACTTTTGTGCACCACAAGGCATTATCAAGAAAGTGAAATATAGCCTACAAAATAGGAGGAAATATTTGCAAGTCATGTTGATAAAAGTCTAGTATCTGGTATATATAAAGAACTTTTGCAGCTCATCGACAAAATGACAGACAAGATTAAAAAATGGGCAAAGCTCTTGATATAGGCCTTTCTCCAGAGGAGATGCACAAGCGGCTACTAAGCACATGGAAAAGAAGCTCCAAGCCATTGGTCGGCAGGGAACCGGAAATCCCAGCGACTGGGGCCCCTCTTCACACCCACTGGGATGGCAGAGGTCGTAAAAGTGGGAACAGTGGCACCGGTGAGTGAGCATGTGGAGAAACCTGAGCCCGGTGCGTTGTTGGTGGGAATAGAAAAGACTGCAGCCTCTGTGGAAAACAGTTTGGCAGTGCCTCAGAAGTGAAGCAGAAATGCCACATGCGCCAGCAATTCTATTCCTAAGCATATACTCAAAAGAATTGAAAACAGGTATCGAAACAAAAATATGTACATACTTTCGTAGCAACACCATTCGCAATAGCCAAAAGGTGGAAACGACCCAAAATTCCATCAGCAAACGAGTTGGTAGATAAACTGTGCTGTGTACATTGATATGTGGTGGACTGTTATCCCATCGTAAAGAGGAATGGAATACTGCTGCCTGCTACAGCGTGGAGGAACCTCTAAGTATTGTAAGTGGGAGAAGCCAGGTTCAAAAGGCCACATTCAGTAGCAGGTGATTACATGTACGTAGAGTGTGCAGAACAGCACTCTCCTTCCAGGGAGGGCGCCTGCACCTGCCCCGTCCCCTCCACTCTCCCCTCCATGTCCCACACGTCCCCCCTCGCCTCCCCCCTCAGCCTCGCCTCCGCCTCCTCCCTGCTCCGCGCCCAGGGCCCCTCCTTGTGCCTCAGTAGCTTGTGTCCTGAGCCCTTTGCTTCTGTGGATCACTGCCACCTCTGTAGTGTTTCAAAATAACATTTCTCTTACAGTTTGAAAATAAAATAAAATAGGACAATTTTGAGAGACAGAACGTGCATTGGTTGTTGCCAGGGAGAGGTGGGGTGTGTAATTGCTTTGTGGGTAACAGAGTTTTCTTTGGAGTGATGGAAGTGTTTTGAAACTACATAGATGTGGTAGTTGTGCAACATTGTGAGTGTATTAAATGCTACTGAATTGTTTGCTTTAGATTATTACTTTGATCTTAAAAAAGAAAAATAAAAGAAAGATTGAGCCTCATTTGGGACATGAAATTATTGGGTGGGCTGAGCATTAAGGGAGAGCATTTAAGGTAGAGAGAAAGTGCAAGTAAAAATAAAAACCAGGTGGGATTTGAGTTGGAAATCAGTTGGGAGAGTGATTAGGGCAGGTCATGAAGTCTCTGGCTAACAACCGAGCCGGAGGAGACAGGGAGGAAGTACCTGGTTATACTCCAAAGCAGCGGGGCTGTGGAGAATCTGGCTTTTGATGAGGCTCTTGAAATGTCAACCTGTGCATGGAGAATCGAACCCGGGAAGCCTGGAGTTCGGGGAAGGATTTTGGGGTCGGCGCAGAGGCCGTCAGCACTGAACACACCCAGGTGTGTGTGGCAGCAGCCTGATCAGAGAGGAAGCAGCGGAGTGACGACTGCACTTGGAGCTTGTTCGCTGTGTGTCGTGTGCTTTAGTTCATTCGCGCTCACAGGAGCCTCGGGCAGCACGAGCTGTTCTTCTGCAGCGCACTGATGAGGCAACATGTCCAGGGTTTCACAGCTACTGACTAGGTTTGAACCCAGGCAGATGACACCAGGACCCCACTACATTCTTAATTATGATGCAAAGGTGAATGTGAGATACTTCTTCTTTTTTAAGATTTTATTTATCTTTAGAGGGGAAGGGGAGAGGGACAGAAACATCAATGTGTGGTTGCCTCTCATGTGTCCCCCACTGGGAACTGGCCCACAACCCAGGCATGTGCCCTGACCGGGAATTGAACTGCGATTGCAGGCCCACACTCAGTCCACTGAGCTGCAGCAGCCAGGGCACCTTTTCTGAAGCCCACTTACTACCTTTCAGGTTGAGGATAAGGAGGTAGGGAACTAAAGCCAGAGTAGAGGCATGTTCCCCTGGCTAATGAGGACCTGGCACAGGTCTTCTCAGGTGGGTTTTCCAAGTAGGAAGAGCCGACTGGCCAGTGGACGTGCGGGCTGGAACTCATGGCCAGAGATAAAACCCCAGAGGAGGCCAGGCCTGCGAGGGCGCCTTCAGAAGGCGAGGAGAACCAGGGACGGCGAGTGTCTCGTCCTAGGCCGTCCCCACCTTTCCTGCTCACCTCGTGCCCTGCCTCACCTCCTGGCTGCATCCAGAGGTGATGCCTAAATTGTCATGTCAGAAAGGGTGGGTCCTTGTCGCCGTGGCCCCAGTGGCCACAGTGGCTGCTCTCTCCGAGAATGGCTCTTGGAGTCAGAGCCTACTCACAGATTTGTCACCTTCATGCTGGTTCGTAACACGTGATGAACCATTAACAGTGTTCCTGTTTGGTGGTTCTAGGGGAAGGGGACGTGGGGGGAAGGCAAGTTGTGTTTGTCTTGCTTCATTTAGAGTATAAAATGCACCCCCCACTGCCACGGACCAGCCACGGCAGGGTCCAGGGGTTCCCGAAGGTGGGTAAGGCGTTGGCGATGGGTAACAGACGACAACACGCCTCAAAGGACAGCGAAGCTCTGTTCCGTTGATTGCAAGTACAGGCAGGTTTTTATATTTTCATTTTAGGTAGTGATTAGCATTTGCAGTGTAGCATGATCAGTTAAGCAGAAAAAATCAATACAAAGATAACCAGGAAAAAAATGAAAGTTCCCATAGATTGTTATAATAAGCAAAGATTATTTTGACCAGGAGAGCCATAAATCAGACAATTAGAAATAGCTGTATGTATAGAATTTGAATGTCTTATTGTATATTAAAATTTCTCAGAATTCGTCATGGGGCAAAAGGATATGCTAGATTGAGTAGAGGTAATAGGAAATTTATTATAAGGCCTTTGTGATGTCTAACTTAGCTATCTAGCCTTTTCTGTCTAAAATGTTTCTCTGTGTACTATAAACTCTGACTCCCTAGTAATTGTTTTTATGTACTTAGTTTGTAATAGCTATTTCTTTGCCTGTCTAATTGATATATACTCTTATTCAAGGTAAAGGAGTGTTACTCCAACAACTTTTAGACATTCAGGGACTTTGTTCTCTGGTCAAGAAATTATTTTGTACAACTTCATTGGAATTATGCTAATCGATGAACCTGAAATACAAGTGTCTAACAATCCCACCACCTTTTGATCACCCAAACAAACATGTAAGGAGAGATAGACAGGAAATCCAGCCACAGTTGCCTCTGCCTTGCAGATGCATCTCAACCGTCCCGACCGTATCCCTGGGCTGTGGGTAGGGGTCTATATAGTTTTTACTTGTCTTCTTGGAAGACCCTTTGTATCTGAGGATAAGGACAGTCATGGGAAAGTCTTTCTAATCTGTTCTTCCATTCCCTCAACTGTTGGCAGCACAACCTGTGTTTGCAACAATAACCTGGTTCTTTATTAAGTGGTCTTAACTGTTGATTTAAGAGATCTAACTTGTTTTTCTTATTTCTGGTACACCATGGCAGTCCTGATTGCTTTAAGTTGCTCAGACCAGGGTAATTTATACAACTTGGCATGTTTTCCCTTATGGTTAACAATTATATCACCCTGGCTGTTATACTCCCCTGAATAAGGGAGAGGGGAATCTGTGGGGATTTTTCCATCCTTTCAGGCAGTTCCGTGGGGAATACTAACGTTTTCCCCTGAACTGTCCCTTCTTCTTGGGTGGTTTTCATGGGAATAAGTAAGTACAGTACAATGTCTATATTCAGTAGCAAGAGTAAAATAATTAAAATAAAACAGCCAGTTGTTAACCCATTTTGGATGCCACATTCTCCTCTGGGGAGACGAATTCCTTGAACTCGGCTCCTCCATGCCCGGACCCTGTCAGACAGCAGGGTTGGAAGAGGGCGTGGCGCCCCTCCCCAGCCCCAAGGACTATGATGGAAAGCTCTCCTCTGTTGAAGCTCTCAGTCTTGGGAAAAATTCAGGCAGTAAAGTCCAAAACACTTTTAAAAGCCTCAGTTATTAATGTAGCTTCTTATCCCCTCACTAGTGCCCGCTTTCCCTCCAGCCCAGTGAATACAGTACCGGGACCTCAGCCGTGTCGTTAAAACTCGAAGCCCAGCGCCCATGGCAGCGCCGCCCTTCGTTCGGCCTGCCTCGCCAGTCTCGGGCGTGCGTCCCCTCCAGCCTGGCTCCTGCCACACCCTTCCCCAGGCACGTGCCCTGCATTTGCCAGGCTTCATCCCAGCTGGCTCCTCTCCCCACAATGCTCTTCCTGGTCCCGCATCCTCGGGGGCTGTCTGGCCTCCAGGTTCAGCTCCGGGGACTTGACGTGTGCTACCTCTCTTCATCCCCACCCTCACCCTCTGAGGTAGACTCCGGTCTTCCCATCTTACAGACAGATGAGTGAGCGTGTAAGTGTTACACCCGCTTCACAGGTACTCAGAGCACACAGAAGCACGGAGAGAGGTAAGGATTCGCCTCCAATCACACAGCTGCTACACAAAGGGGCGGATTCCAAAGACGGTTCTTCCAGCTGCGGTCTGTTACTAGCTGTTCCAAGTGGCCCCTGACGGAGACGTCTGGCTAAGCTACACTGTGAACTGTGGGACGGGAGAAACGTGCGGAAGCTTTGCTAAACCTTGTCCTGTCTCTCCTCTTTGGGTCCAGGTGGAAGTGAAGCCATATGTGCTGGATGATCAGATGTGTGACGAGTGCCAGGGCACACGCTGTGGCGGGAAGTTTGCCCCGTTCTTCTGTGCCAACGTCACCTGTCTGCAGTATTACTGCGAATACTGCTGGGCGAGCATACACTCCCGCGCCGGGCGGGAGTTCCACAAACCGCTGGTGAAGGAGGGAGGCGACCGCCCTCGGCACGTGCCGTTCCGCTGGAGCTGAGCCGGGCAGACCCACCACAAGTACTGGAGTAGCTGACGAGGAGGGAAAAGAGAGGGCACGGCCTCAGGGCTTACAGTGTTCTGGAAATCTGTGCATTCGTTCTCGATTTTTAAAGAAGAAATGGGTCTTTTTATTATTATTATTATTTACAGTCATATTACTGAACTCAATGTCCAGTATAATGCAGAATTGCAGAGTGTATCACGGTACTGATTTGCACTTTGATTCTCACACCTTGTCTGCTTGGTACCTTCGTTTCTCACCCCGGATTTGTCCCCGGTGACAGTACGTAGACTGCCATCCTCATCCTCGGCCATCAGGTCACTGTCTGTGATTTTTTTGTTTGTTGTTGTTGTGTTGTTGTTCCGATTGTTTTTGAACTGGAGCATGCACTTATTTTCGGAAATTTGGAGAGTTGCCCCTAGGAGAAGACTTACCAAAGGTAATAACCGCGAGTAGGTGGCAAATGTAGCAGAAACTTGGCAACAGCTCAGCAGTCATTAGTCGGGTCGTTTAGAGCAAGGTGAACCCTTAATGAAGATAAGCCTTTAGTTGCTCTCTATTTTGACATGTAAGGATACCTCATAAGCTGAATCCTTATTTTTCCTTCACGTTTGATTTTTATTTTGCTGAGGATTTGGGTTAGGTTTTTTAGTGTCATGTAAATTTATGCTGCAATAGCTTTTGCTGCTATTAAAATGGTATTATTAATACCATAAGACTCTATTCAGGCTAAGGCATCAATGGAAAAAAAACCCCAACAACACACTTTTGTGATTTAGGGATAGAATCAGCTGCCGAAAGGAGATCGGAGTAGATTCCAGAAAGCTTCAGCGGAAGGTCGCCGTTTCTGATTGCATGTTTACTTAATCAGGTTGCTGCATGCAATAAATTTTATATCCAATGTCTAGTATAAAACCTTCCCACGATGCACAAATTAAGAATCTATATAAGCTATAAAATACTGATTTTTTTTAAAAAAGATTTTTTTTATTCAAAGAATTGGTAATTGACCGGAGGAAGGCATGCCTCAATAAATGGAATGCTTCTGAAATTAGGAAGAGCCCGTAACAGAAGGACCTATATTACCACCAATATAAAACCTAGGTGTAGGATATTCTTAAAGCAAATTTGTGGATGGTAGATGAAGTACTTTGCGGTGCTCTGTTATATATCGTGCAATTTATTTTATATAGTAAAGTGATTATGTCTAACTGTGATCAAACTTAACTGTTTCAAGCCTCTGTGTCAGACATTGATGAACTTGACCGTTCATAACTGGTATACTATTAACCAACACATGAGCTCTTAGTTACAATCTCCTAGTGCTTGCACCATTTTTACATAGCTTCAGACCTTGTCCAGAAAACCAAAGAGCTCATCTTAGCTTACAAACACTAGGAATATATACAGTATATAGAGATAAGCTGTCAGATTGACAGACTAGGCACATTTTAAGAAAGTTGCGTGCTGGTGATGCTAAAGAAATGTCTACAAAACAAGATGGCCTGGGCAGGGTTGGTTGTCTGGGTAAGAAATTCACTACTTAATTCCCTGGATTTATCCTGTAAAGCTTGAATAGAATTCAGACCTGCTAATGCTACCATGGACATTTTTTTAGCATTCACTCTTGGGCTGCAGATAGTAATATATAAACACACACAACGGTTGTGAGACTACGTAAACTTGTTTTAACCTTCTTCCTGTGTTTGGAATTCTGGGGACAATCTGACTGGATATGACACTGCAGAGTAGGTTTAAATCGCCGCGTTCCGTGTGCTGTGAAGTCCTTGTACTGTCTGAAGTCGATGTCGCTCGTTTTCGTTCTGTTCCATTTGGTTTCTCCAGCGTTCAGTTGCAATTACCAGCTCTCAAACCATAGTTTGTTTCAAAAAGGAAAAACAAAGTAGTTTTCTACTGGATTAAAAATGCTTATTAGAATTCTCCCCCTTTGAGGTTACCTCTGGGCTTTTTGGTAGTAATTGCTTTTTTCCGGCCCAGCTGTGGTTTTCTGTTTGTTTTTGTTTTCTTTTTTTCTTTCTGTGTTTGTGGTTTTTTTCCACCCGTACAAGAAATTTTGTTATGCACTACTACTTTTTGTATTCTAGACAGTTTTCAAAAGCTGGCTGAAGACTTTTTTGTTCGTTTGTTTTTAAGGAAAAAGGCATGCTTTCTGACTGACAGGATCTTTTGCAATACCTCAATTTTGAAATATAGGAGAGAAAATGATATTTTCTAAGTAAGTTTATTCAGAAAAATATATATTAATTTAATTCTGCAAGAAAAATGATTTAACAGATGGGTAACTTTATTTTTTTCATGCTTATTTGTGTTTTTTGAAAATGAAGAAGTTAGAGCTTTATAACTATAATATTAAAGATCATATCTAACCTACAGAAATCTACCTAATTATGTGAAAGAAGCAAAACTTTTTGAAGAAGCACCCCTCTTTCATGTACTAAAATAACACTGAGATTTTTAAAAAGCTGAAAGATTGTACAGCATAAAGCTTAACATGAAAGCGAAAAAACATTGTCACGAAGAATAGGTTACAAAAAATAGACTCCATTTGGTGCTGAAAGTTGCGAATAGATGGTGGAAAGGACTTTCCCTTCGTTTGTATATTTATAATCAAGCGTTGACTGTGCACGACTGACTGACCAGGATTGTGAAAGAGTTCTTCTGTTTGTATTTTTTTAAAGAGAACTTTTTTAGTTTATTAAATTATAACATGTTCCCTTTTGTTTTGTAAATAAATGTGCCCCCAAGTTGTTAACATTCTATTAAAAGAGAGGGTCCTTCAAAAAATTATTTTTTAAAACACAGAGGTGTTCTGACCTGCAACTTGACTGGGGAGCCCCTGGGTACCACAGGTCCTGTTGTGGCCTTTCCTTGATGTGACACTTGAACTAGTCGATTTTTTGGAGGCTATAACCTAACCTCGACTATTTGTTGTTATGTGCAATACTGTTTGTACTGTTTGTATAAAAAATAGAAAAAAAAAGAAAAGAAAAAAGGCATAAATCTTTATTGCAGATTTATTTTCATTGCAAACTTTAGACATTGTGATTCACTGAAATCATTTTTCTACTGTCAAATATGTACCTTTTCTTCATGCTGGTATTTTTTCAATAGTAATGTAGCCTTTGTACTGAGACAAATTTTCATTGTTATTTTTAGAAAGATTTTTTGCTAAGAAAAAAATTAAACATATTTACATATTTTTCATTTTATTTCGTATTTTCTTTAAGGAGTGCTTTCTCAATCATTAATAGAGTTGTTTCTGGGAGGGACTTTCATATCTGGTCAATGTCATAATATTATTTTGTATTTTTACTTGGAATAAATTAATTTTATGATGCTAATTCTTTAAAAGTTTATTTTTTTCATTTTCAGTTATTTTTGAAGCTAAAACCTTTGTAATATTGTTACTAAAGTGTCTAGTTTTTTGAAATGCAAAGCTTTATGTATTAACTTGCTGATGTGGTTTACAATAGTGTGACAACAATGAAAACAGTTGGGTGTGTAAAGTGGTTGGAAACTGTAATGAACAATCGGGTAATAAAATGACAGAATGAGCAGAACATGTGAGATTTTGACAAGCCTTTTCCTTTGTTCCAGTGGGTCAGCGTGAGATTAGGGATGTCCCGGTACAGCTCCCGCAGGATGTCCCGGTGCATTTATACAACACCAGTGCAACCCACTCTGTGGCTCTGAGCACGGAGTCACCCCTAGTGAAGTGCCGCCGGGTGGAGAGCCCGGCCAGGTCAGCGGGACGCCTCATTGCTTTTCCCCTGACTCTTCATTATGTCGTGTGTGTGTGTGTGTGTGTGTGTGTGTGTGTGTGTGTGTGTGTGTGTGTGAATTGCCACCAACTGCTGTCCACGTGTGAGACGGTGCCTCTCGCCCAGGCCACATCTTCTCCATTCATTCACAGTGGTGACGTCTGTCAGTCAAAGGAGGCTGCTGGGAGGACACCACCTTCGTGTAGTTACACTCGGGTGGCGATGCCCCCCCCTCAGCGGGCGGAGCACCCCGAGGCACTCTCAGGCGCCACCACTGCAGACAGACAGTCTCCACCTCTGCCTCCCTTCACCACCCTTCACCTCCCACCTGCTTCCTGTTCCTATGCCCCTTGTTTGTCCCTAACTGTCCCTTATTGTGGCAACACATCTGGCACCACTCCGAGCATGATCTGTCCGCCCTCCTGCTGCTTCTCCAACCCCCGCCTCGCCCCTAAGCGGTGCCGTCAAGGCAGCGCGTCCTTGTGGTGGCGCCTCAAGCGAACGCGAACAGACCACCGACTGCAAAGCTGGTGTTGCGTAAACGGAACATCCCAGGACTTGCTGTAGGTAGAGGGGTGTCTCTGCGAGTCCTTGGTAGCCTCTCGCAGGTCCGCTGCCACGGAGGCGAGGTTACCAATCACTTGGAGAGACGCGTGTCCAGAGCTGGCTTTTGGGTATGCTCTATGTATTCAGTTCTGTAAATAATATATAGATTAGATCAAGTCGTGATGTAAAATTTTAACTCAAATTGGGTATCACTGGTTGGAATTTTACATTTACCACAAATAAGTGATTAGGAACAGAAGAAACGAAATTGGAAAATTCTTGCTTAGTGGTATAAAGATTACGCTTAGATCTCTGCTTATATCTTGTGTTTTATAGCTTGTTAGTGAGGCATGGGCTAATGCAGAATGTATTGCATTTATGCAATTTAGCAAATAACTGCTAGTTTTAATTTTATCTATTGTATTAGCAACCAAATGGTATTTAACTGGGTAAAGCTCCTACCTAAATATTTGAGTATTGTGACATCTCTACTTGCAAGGTTTGAGTGAAAGATTTAGTCACAGCTTAGTGGAAAAAAAAGTATCCTTTTGTTAAATCTGGCTTATTTGTATGGATTGTTGCTTTTTCACCAGTTTGTATGGTATGTCGGCTAACATTTTCCATTTTCTTTTTTAATGATAACCAAACTTCTCTATCTCAGCTGCAGTATTGTCCCATTTTACCACAGAGTGTTTTATAACTGATGCTGTTGACTTTATGCCCCTCAATGAGTCAGGAATTTGGTATGTGATTTGGGGGGTGTTTAAATGTGTACGACGATGAAGTTAATCGCAACAAATAGAAAACTCGGGTGCTAATACCGGAAACTCCTGCTCTTTTTTTCTTTTCTGGATATAGTTCTGTTGGGGTATAAAGTCTTCGGTATTTGTATTTTTGCTGTCAAAATAATGGACTTAACTTTTAGAGTGTTCACAGCTAAGATCTCTGTATTTGTTTTTCAACTAACGACCAATTTTACACGTCTTGTACCTTCTATCGCCTGTCCTCGGGTTGTTTTCGCTCTGGTGACCCTTACTCAGCTTCCGCCCCCGGGGCTCGGACTCGTGTCGCTTGTAGGAACTGCAGTACTGTGACTACACATGGAGCTCGACGCAGCTACCGCTTACAACTGCTTAAACTTTGTAGTTTGGACTTCATTTTTTTCTGTAATAACAACTTATTAAATCTAGTTGTATGAAGTACTGACACTTGTCATCCTTTGCATCTGCTAAGGAATAGCGAGCGGGGCGTAGAGGGGTCGCCTCTGGGGACCTTGGCACAGTTTGCGCCACGAGCTTTTGGAGGGAGCGGGACAAATGCCTCTGCAGCAGATTAAGCACAGCGACATTCGCCTGTTCTCTGTCGCAAACAACACTAATTTAAAAAAAAAAAAAAAAGCACAGGTGTACCTGAGACGCGAAGGTACGTGCTCGGCTCAGTGTGACCCAGTCTTCAGGCCGTGGTTTTACAGGTGCAAGTTGGTGTTTTTAATGCCAGGCACTTGCCACATGAAACCAGTTTGCCAAATCAAAGCCAAGAAAGTCATGAGAACGTGAGTACGCCCCTTTCGTGTTATTTTTCACACGACGGTGCCTCCGATCATTCGGAAACGGCGTCTTTTTCAAGCCCCCCGTCGGCTGTGGACCTGCTGGAAGCCCTGCCAGGCGCTCGCTCCGGTCCCTTTAGAAAGGGCGCCGCGGGGGCTGCGCTCCCTCCAGAGCGCGGAGAACACGCAGGTGCGGCCGCCCCGCCCCGGGGATTGATTGCTTTCAGCCGGTTCGGGTGGGGCGGGGTGCGGCGCACGTGTCTTTAAAGTCCCGGGGCTTTCGGCCCGGACCGAGCCGCGCGTGGGCGGCGGGTCTCGGATCACCTGGGCGCCCGAGGAGGACGGGACTCGCGCCCAGCGGCCAGGAGGGTGGCGGCGGCGGCGGAGCCGGGAGCCGAGGCCCTGAGCCACCGACCACGGTTGGGGGGAAGCCGGGGGCCCACGGGCTCCCTCCGTCCCGGCTCGGGCGCGGCCGCCGGTTTCCTACGCGCCCCCCCCCGTCACCGCCCCCCTCGAGGGCTTCTCCCCTCCCCAGCCGTTTGCACTGCACCCCTTCCCGAGTCCGGGTCCCAAATCCTCCGCGTCCAGCGTCTGCCCCCTCCACCCAGGTGCCCCGGCGTGTGGTCGTGGCCCCTCCACTCCTCGCTGCAGCCCTGCAGGTAAGCTCACCCGGGGCCGCTGCGCCGCGTCCCCGGAGCCTGGACGCGCAGCTCCGGGCGCCCCCTCATCTCGCTCTGCACAGGCTGCCGGTGACGAGCCGGGCGCCCCCAGGGCTGAAGCCCAAGGCCTGGACATTGCGGGGGGCTGGGGGCGGAGGCTCTGTATCCCCCCAGAAAAGGGGGAGAAATATTACGTGTATTTCAGGTCCCTTTTCTATTTGATTTTGCTAAAAATGTACCATACACCAAACAAATGGAATCCTCTTTTGAGGATGCTGGTCTGACTTGGGCCCCACATTCGTCCTCTGGCAAAAGGCTTTGATGTCCCAGCGCTTGGACTGGAAGGGGAGTGGGCAGTGAGCGGTGCCTTCGGAACGAGCAGTCCGCTATTTTTAGGGGTAAAATCCGGAGTCCCGGCGTTTCCGGGGCTTGAACCCCCTTCTGAGCAGACGAGTGGGATGGGGGTGGGGGGTGGGGGGTGGTGCGAAGTCACCGCGAGATGCCCTGGCTTGGCGAGGCGGCTGGGTCACTGTGGCGAAGGCGTCTGCTTCGCAGGGAAGGACACTCACGACCGCGAACACTGGATTTGGGTGCTTTCTCACCAGACTCTTGACACGTGGGCCCCGTGGGCCCTGTGAAAGCAGAAGACTTAAAAAGTCATAAACAGGGTCAGGCACAAAAATGCCCCCCTTTTTACTACAAAACCAAAATCATGTAATTCTGTGATAAAACAACATCACACACATGCACACCATATGGCATTTTAGGTGAAATGTTCAAATTACGACGGTAAGTTATTACACTCACGTTCTTCCCCTACAACCACACACGAGCAGGCCTTGCGTCTGCCCACGACCCGGCCTTTTAAGGGGCGGGCAAGGCCCCAACAGGGTAAGGAAGGACCCTGGGCCGGGCCAAGGGGCGGCTACATGGGTGTGTCCTGCGCCAGTCAGTGGGTTGCTGGGATGATAACTGCTTTCTCCACCAATTGAGGTTCAGCGAGTAACTGACAAAAAACTGAACAGAAGTGCATTTGAAGCACACGAAAGAAGTGGCCCCTTCACATAATGAAAGATAAAGGCGAGTAACCTAATCCAACAGGGGAAAGGGAGTGGCAGAGAAAGGCTTCCATGGCAGGACAGTGGGTTTTTACAGGAAGAAGTGCTCCGGTCCTGGCGGGAGGTTCAGCTGCTTGGAGTGTCGTCCACTTTACGGAAAGGTGGTGGGTTCGATCCCTGGTCAGGACGCCTGCAGGAGGGAGGCAGCTGATGGATCTTTCTCACCTCGTTGTTTTTTAATCTGTCTGTCTTCCTCCACCCATCTCCTCCCCTCACTTCTCTCTCTCTCTCTCTCTAAAAACTGATAAACATACGAAAGAAAATCTGTGATAATGTTTGTTTATGCACGTGTGACCATTTTTTCAATGTCTTCCTTCTGCCCAGAGAAAAATCCCCAGGAAGGGCTTTGGTTCCAGCCTGGCTCTGGGAAGTCTCTGCCCCTAGTCAGATAAGGGGAGCTCTGAAAAAGCTGTTTTCTGCATCTTTGAAATCTCAAGTGTCTTCCGTTGAAAATCATCTTCTTCGTATCAACTCTGGGGGTCTGTATGGGTTCCCACAGAGAAATGGCTGGAATTCAGCCGCCACTGGAAGAGATGGCTGGGAGTTATCTTTGTTCTGCTCCATTATGGAGGGAATGGAATTCTAAGTCTGGGCGTTGCGTGTGTTTAGAGAAGGCGGGCTTGGCAGCATCGGTGTGTGCACGCCCCTCACCAGTGACCGCGTCCTCTTCTGCAGGTTTCTGGTCTCCTCTTTGGTGAACATGGTTTGAGCCGCACTGTTAAGAACGAGGGTGTTCCACCTTCTCGCCTTCGGTGCAGGATGAAACCAAGGAGACTCTTTGTCGATGGAAGAAACACGCCCTGGGAAGTTTTGGTCCCTACACTGAGGCGTTGTCTTGGGCACCTGGCCTCTCAAAAAACAGCCCTCGGGCTCAGTTTTATTATCATCAAAAACCAAACACAATTCCAATGCATACCCACAAGAATGACTACAG